AAAAACGCAGCACCAGTAATTTTCATTGCTACCAACTATACTGTTTTCACTGGCAGTAACTAAATCCATTTTCGAACACATCCATGGTACCTTAAGAAGAAGAAAGTGGTTACGGTACCTTTTCAGAAAATTGACGGCTTTCCTCACGATACGAATCGGAGTAAACAAACGTTAGGTTAATCTCGTACTTGCTTTGAGATATTGTTAATTGAAATCATCTACATAATTGTCCTTTCGACGTGACAACGATCAATTATAAGGTTTTTTTTAAAACTAGCACGATTATAATAAAACGCGCGGACGAGGTAGAGAGAAGTTTAATCGATGCAAAATGCAAGCAGAGGTAAACGGCATATTGGAAGAGTCGCTGCAAAAGGCCAGAGAATATGACAGGAATGGAAATGTTGGAAAAGCTTTTGCATATTACATTATCTTCGCGGAGTTCTCCGCAAGGAGATCGGAAATTGAAGAAGCGTTTACAGATGTGTTGTGTAAGATACAGTACATTACATATAATTTGTATTTGTGTTTGTGAAACGCAAACAAACATGTGACATTTAATTTTCAGGCGAGTGGGGAATGCAGCTAGCGAGGGAGAACAAGTTTTCAGATGTTGAGAGCTGCTACAAAGTTTCCTTAGGCATTTACCCAAACAACCCTCGTATGCTAAATAATTTTGCGGCGCACCTGTTAAGGTAATTCATGCCACATTACGTATGAACATTAAGTCTAATCTACAATGTGCCTTCTGCGTCTAGAAACATTCTATTTTATATAAACGGATCAAAACGCTCAACAAATTTGTCAACAATGTACGATTATACAATGTATAATACACAATTTATCAACTTGCATAAATTTTGTAATTGTATACATTAGCTACAAAATAGAATGTTTCTAGATGCAGAGAGCACATTGTAGATTAGGCTTTAATTTCTCAATTGCCGTCGCAACAAATTTCTTATAATTCCCAATCCAAAGAGACTCATAGAATGCCGCATATACTTGTTGAAGGAATAACGATCCCATAAGGGCGATAGAATATTTAAAAAGAGCTTTGAAAGTTGATGTTAACTTTCTACCGGCAGAGCGGAACTTGCAAAATGCGTATAGTATGGCGGTGGACAGGTGGCATTTCACGATGCTCAATGACAAGCAGAGAAACAATGCTTTTGAGCAGGCCATACGTAAGAGAGTCGGTCAGGGCTACGATACGGTGCTGGACGTAGGGACTGGTACGGGCATTTTGAGCCTGTACGCGAGAGATGCCGGGGCGACGAAGGTTTACGCATGTGAATGCTCTGAAGCGATGGCGCTGATCGGAAAGGAAGTGTTCAAGTCTAACAACGCGACCGACATAAAGTTGATATCGAAGCTATCGTTCGACCTTGAAGTACCTGTGGATATTCCAGAGAGGTTTGTGCATGTATACATGTATATGCTTGCATACCGTTAAAATTATTACGATATTATTTGATTAATACTGAAACCATGTATCTGTACTTCTAGAGTGAAACTAATAGTGACCGAAACGTTTGACGCTGGCTTATTTGGAGAGCTCGTAATACCGTCTATGATTAACGTGCACATGAACGTTTTAGATGCCAGTGGTATGGTAATACCTATGGGCGCGACGGTTTACACGGCAGCCGTTGAATGTAAATACATTAGATGTAGATCGTCGGTGGTTTTTGACGAAGTGAAGTATCACTGTCCTCTGAACTTTGACAACGTATCTGTACTGTCGGACGACGAGTATTACGATACGGAAAACCTGGAAAGAGTTCAAATTAATTACGTCACAGAGCCGCAGGTGCTCTTTACCGTGAATTTTAACGATTTGCTAGAATTGTGCGAATTCGGCAAGGATGGGATTAAGCAGATGCTGCAAACAAAATGTAAATACGACGGCATCATAGATGGTTTAGTAACTTGGTTCAAGTTGCATCTGGACGAGGAGATCACTCTGGACTCCTCGGATGGAAGGTCTTGTTGGCAATTCGCGGTTTTCCCGACGACACCGGCCGTGTGTCGCAAAGGTGACGTCTTGTCGATAAAAGCGGAAACCGTGAAGGGCAAACTGAAATGTTCTTATAGCGCGAGCGATGCGCGATTCAGCGAAAACTGTAAAACTTCGTATCGTTTGTCGAAAGAAGTCATCGCCTTCCTGAATGACTTCGATTACGTCAAACTGCTCACAGAAATCGGTAGATCTCACGAGAGTAGAAAAACGAAATATATTTTAGATACTTCGCCTTTTCCAATCTACGGATTGACTCTTTTAAAGGAGTGTAAAGATAGTGAGATTTTATATTACAAAACTGACAATCCAACGCTACGTGTTCTGATTGAACAAGTAGCCCGTGATAGCGGACTGCAAGGGAAAGTGCAAACGATATCGAACTACGAGGAGATTCCATGTTCTTTAGATTCCATATTTATTCACAACTTTGACATCAAGGGTGAATTGAAAGACGATGAGGATAGTTGTTTTGAAATTTCCAGGTACTATGTTGTATGTAATATTTATGTATTGCATTCTTTACGTAGTATTAAATCTGTTTAATCATTCATTGTCTCAGGAGGTTACTTAAAACGAACGGCGTGTTGTTGCCGGAAAAGATTTTCCTTGTCGGACAATTAGTATATTCGGAAGATTTGCCAAATATGGTTTATGTGCAAGACGCAAATCTCCAAAGTTCGTTTAATACTTCTATCGATATGGTACGATGCAATATTGTGATATAATTTATATTTAAATAAGAGATATCTTGTGCGAAAGTATAATTGTTGAAAACAATTTTGTAGAATTTGCTCACTTAATACAGCAAGATAAAGAATATGGTTTTCTTTTCAGAGTTCGAACAGTAATGATGGTCTACATATGCGGGATAATAGAGCAAATAAAGTAAATAAAAGTACAAATTACATAATTGCTGAATACATTAATAAATACAAGGTGAGTCCACGTCAAAACTTCTAGTCTAAAGGTACCGTATTTCATGCTTATTTCGTTGCAGATCAACCAGATATTTGATTTAAATTCGAGCTTATATTCGTGTGAGATTATGTCCGAGGTGCGAATACTGGTAGAAGTAAATGAAACAGTGACTACCGAAACGATCGTAAATTTTGACGAAATAAGTAACAAAGGGAAAAATTTACCAAATGCCTTAATATGTTGGTACAAGGTCCAGCTCAGTCCACATCATGTACATGATACAAAGAAGAATGACTCTTTCATGAATCATACGGCAATCGTTTTAGAAGATGAACTGAGAGATATTATTCTGAGAGATAAAGAAGTAAAAATTAAAGTTCACCAAATGAAAGGTTTAGTGAAGATTACAATACTAAATTTGTAAAAGTTTATAAGATAAAGCTATTTTATAATTTTGTACAATTTCTTATGGAAAATACAATTTTACAATAACTTTCTTACTACAATACAGTACATTCTGTAACTATTTTTTTACATGATACCTTATGATACCTAAAATGTATTATATAAATCTGAAAAAAATTTAACTACTAACAATTGCATACATAAACTTTACTATAAAAACAATCTACTTTTGCAAAGTCGGAGTAAATATTAATGTTAAACTATAAAGTGCGCACAAAAAGTATAAATGTAGATATCTACTTATTTAAATATACAATTATTTGTATAGATACCGTATTACATTTAAAATATATTGAATCATTTATTACTCATTCCACAAAATTTCCTTGTAAAATAGTATTTATAATAGTCTATTATTGTATATCTTATATTTGCATTTACATATATTATAATATTCTAAAAGCTTTTGGTAGACGTAATCGACTTTTTCCCATAAAAAATTCCAATTTTAATAGACAATCTTATAATATATGCACACAATTGTGCACACTATAGTTTACTAGAATTATTGCTATTCAATATTTTACATATAAATGGCGCAACTTTTTCAGGATTATTATTATGAGCGTCATGATCTCCATCTACGTAAGTTATCTCCAACATGGTTTTGGATTTCATTATTTCCAATACTGATTCATGTTCTTTATATTGAAGAACAATACCGTTAGATGAGAGAAAGAGATATATTGGAATTGAAAGATTGTTATTAAACTTCTGAAATATCTTCAAGTCCATATATGAAAGAGTGTGATTTTTTAATCGTATATCCCTATTATATATGTACCTCCCATTTACTTTCGTAACTGCATGCTCGAACATCGCTTCAGCAGCTTCGGAATTTAAAGTTGCGATCCTCATAAATTTAAGAGCATGAAGTACTTCTTCCTTATTGAAAGACAGTGGTTTTTCATCGCGACCAGCTTTTATTGAAAATGTAGATGATTTGTTAAAATATTTTACCTGATCCACTTCATAAAAATTCATAAGAATCCCATCGAGAGCAATTAACTTCCTGATTCTGTTTGGGTGTATAACACTGAACATTAAACCTATTTGCGCCCCGAAACTGTGTCCTATATAAATACACGTTTCCCACTGCAGCGCTTCCAAGATGAAATATAATGCATGCACGAAATCTGTAATGTCTAACATCATCCAAGATGGAAAATGCGACGACCATCCGTGGCCAGGCAGGTCTATGCATACATAATAAAACAATTCGTTTGGTAAATACTTCATCAATCTGCTAAAAGATCCTGCGTTATCCAGACGGCCGTGCACTACCAAGACTGGCTTTCCTGCGGAAGAGCCATAGGTTTTGGCAGCGACATGACCCCAAGGTACAGAGAGCTTTATTTCCGTACATTGTTGTCCCACCTCTGTCATTTTTGCTAATTGTTCTGGTACGTCTTGCTGAACTAGATACAGAAATCGTATTTACTGAAACAATACATTTTCAACACTTAAGTAGAAGAATCACGAGAAGGAGAAAGTATACGTAAATAGGGGTTTTACCTATTGCGCACGTAATTTCGATTAATTTTTGAAATTTATATCACACTGGCTCATTTATTAAACAAACAACAAAACTGACGAAAGAGTTTCTCTTCATTCACTGCTAGGTCAGCTGTTAAACACGACCAGCAATACTCTGGCATTAGGAAGTAAATGTGTATCTCGTATTTGTATCATACCTGTAGTGCAAAGTCCCTTCTCCAATATAGGGTCACGCTCGTCACTGACTCATCACTTTTTCCACGGTCATGTTGTTCTATTTGTAGAGGTTATCTCTTTTAGGATAAAAAGGAAGTGTCACGCTGACGAATGTAAACGAGATGCTACGTTATTTGACTTCGACAAAGTTACTTTTTTAAATTTGCTCTATTTGTCAATTCGAGACCCACGGTTTTATAACGGTCGGTCTAACAAAGTTGTTTTACTTACATACTTCGTTGTGGTTATCTCCTAAATAAATGAATATTAATTAACTATAAATTATAGATAACGATGACTAAACTAAAATGAATAGTCATACTTGCCATTAGCAATTATACTAAAGCGCATTTAATTAATATTAATAAAAGTTAAACTAAAATACAAACGGAGAAAAATCGAGAAATTGCTCAAATTGAAATAACTTAAATTAAAAAATAATATTAAATCGATTGGTAAAACGAAATGTTGCGCTTTTAAACTTGCCGGACGAATTTATTACTGATAAAAAAAAGACAATTTGTCTCACTATTATGCAAATTTTTCTAATCAAAATAACAGCAGAATAAATAGTAATCCTATACATATGTATATTGTTACAAATTATCTATAAATATTCAATTTATTTATCTATATAATTTCTCAGTCACGAATTCTAAAAAGAATGAGCAATTCAAAATTATTTTAATGAATCACTGCATGTCCGCGCTCTCACCCAGGTAGCAGACACACGTCATTTAGGCCCGGTTTCACCAACGCGAGTTAAGCCCGTATCAGACTACGGATTGAGATTGGGATTAGATTGAAATTTGACCAATCAGAAGGCTTGTTTTCTGTTCCTACACTAGTGAACTAGTGCAATAAATTGGAGTAAGACAAGCATATTTTTTCTCATTCTAGCTTACTGCACTAGTTCACCAGTGCAGGAACAGAAAACAAACCCAGAGTAAAAGTTATTGAACTTAAAATTAGTAAACTTTACTGTGATTGGTTAAATTTTAATCTAATCCCAATCCCAATCCGTAGTCTGATACGAGCTTTAGACTGCAGATGGCAGACAACTATCCGTAAGCGCTTATGCCCATTCTACACCTAGGGATGATCCTACTTGTGGCTCATCCGATACTCGCTTCTATACCTAAAGGCGCGAATTCATGCAGCGAGAAGTCGCTGGCGACTTTCCCCCTCTACGTAGACCTTTCCCCCTCTACGTAGACATTGTGTAGTAGAGCGACAAGTCGTCGGAAGTTCGTCCTGTCTGAACAGCAGCGACAAGTCGACACATCGCGCCTTTCAATATGAATAATCGCACAGATTTCGAGGTTAGTGTAACATCAAAAATATTAATAAACTAATTAGTTATTATGGCTGCGATCAAGCTGTCGTCTCAAATGTTTTGAAGTATTCTTCTTCTCCTTTCTTTCAGAAAAGATAGAAGGAGAAGAGAAATACTTCGAAGCATTTATAGCAGCGGTTTCACCGCAACCTATATCATGTGTTTGCTTGTGTTTACAACTGCGTATATCTAATTTGAGGATAATTTGAGGACATGATTTTGATTTTCAGTCAACTGAATTGACTGTATTATATACCTGCAGTATATGCGAAACAACTTCCCTAGTAGCACAGTGCATTGGGCAAACATTGGTTAAACATTGGCCCAATATAACCAAATATTGAGCCAATGTTTATCCAATGCACTGTGCTACTAGGGTTGTAGCTCTGATGAGATTAAAAATCATCCCTGCTTGAGAGGATTTACGAGACACTTCGTAGACCAAAATTATTATTTCCATCCGCAGTGCGGTAAGTATATAGTGGTGAAATTAATA